GTAAATTTTTCAGATATTACTAAATCTGGAGAAACGATTACGTCATCTAAAACACTTCTGCATTCGAGTATTTGTGCATTGATACTGATATATTGGGTGTGGTGGGGCGTAGAATAGGCCAACTCTTCCTTTTCTGTGAGTGTCGTAAGAGGCTACTAAGAGAACCTAATGGTAGAGGGATGAGCAGCAGTGTCCTTCTTAAAACATTTCTAAAAGCCTAACTGTGGATACCAACCCGCCTGCCAAGCGTGGCAACTATTGATACACACTATGAGGAAGGCTTATGTTCTGCAGTGGACAATTAACGGCTGAATTGATGAATGATAGATAAAATAATATTTTTATGATCCCAATGTGAGCATACTGTGTAATGTAATACTTGAACAAATACTTAGACTTATATGTTTTCGACAGTACCTTCATAACTAAGTATGTACTATTCACATTAATCACGTTACTATGCGACGACGGTTGGCGCTTTCCAGAAATACTCCATTACGTAGGTGCTTTGCCACTACAATATATATTATTATTATTCTATAAATATGGAACAAAAAAGAAATACTTTGTTCTTTTTATCGCGAGGAACTCGTAGAAAATAAGTATCTTCTTACGGACTGAAGCAACAATGTTGACGGTGAATAAACACCCTCGATGATTTAAAGGGTGCCTTATAATTCCGGAACTTTATTACGTTCCGCCAAAAGGAAATTCCTAACGAAATGAATAATGTTTATTTATTGAGTAAATACGCGAAGTACACATTGCCTTAGACTAAATATAGGCAAAATATACAAGGCGACGCGAACAGCATTGCTATGTTAGTCCGCGTAGGCGTTCAACTACTCTCTCTGAAAGAAAAACGAACAATAGACATAAAATCTCCGAATATAACATTTTATAACGTTTTAAATAATTTATCTATACTACTACTATATTTATTTTACACTGCATTTGTATAAACTACAGCATTTTCACAAAGTGATTGTAAAGACAATTTGAGATCAGAGATATGTTGGGCTTATATTAATTTTGTGTTTATTTGCAAACAAAAATTGATTTTTGCGAATATATATATATATATATATATATATATATATATATATATTAGAGTATGTTTTTTTGCGAAATTAAACGCATCTCCTTATGTAATTTTTTTAATAGTATAATTTATTTGTACCTATTAACTTATCTAGACTTATATTTATCACTGGCTAAAACTTTGTAAGTGATTCTTTCTTTACAGTAGTAAGTTAATAACCACCTTATTCATAAAAATGTCAAACCTCTCATAAACGTATTTAAACTATTGAAGAGTTTTGTCCTATTCTTTTGCATTGATTTCTCAATTTGAAATACAACCTATTTTTTTATACCACTGAGGCGGCAAACAAGCATACAGCCTACCTGATGGTAAGCGGTTACCGTAGCCTATGAACGTCTGCAATACCAGAGGTATTACGCGCGCGTTGCCGACCCTGAAGAAACCTCTTTACCCCCCTTTTGAAGAACCCCATGCTGTAGTCATGTTCATGGGAGAAAACATCTCTGAAACCGCGTTGTACGCGACCATTTAGGCTGTAAGGTATGAGGGTGAACTCCCTGTCGATGGCGAGCCGTACGAAGATAGAAAGTGGCCGTAGGCATCATATTGAATAATTCCTCTGAGCACAATCCGTTGTACAACCATGACAAGTTACGCGTTACAACGTAACTTACTATTGATTGAATTCTTCAATTATATACCATCTGATCTAAATTTAGGATTCAGTTCGTGTCTATAAAAGTGATCTTACCTTGGAATCCCTAAATATACTGGTGTTTGCTATTGGTGACCTCAAATAAACTGATAAATTATGTATTTTAATTAACAACGCTTGTGTTATGTATAAACTATGTAGTCTATTTATACCTATATTGATTTGTTAATTATGTATTTATGTAAAGTAAAATAAGTACCATACAGAAAACTAACATTAGTTTTAAATATTGAGTTGTTTGACCACTTGTGTGGTGCAATGATAGGTACGTTCATTATCATCATCTCAGCTATTATCTGTCCACTGCTTAACATAGGCTGTTCCCATAGACTATCATAAGGGACGGTTCTGAGCCACCTGCATTCACTGACTCCATGCAATGCGTTTAAGGTAGGTGCGTTCCTTTGTGAGCCCGGGTTCAATTCCTAGTCAGAGAAATTTAGGCAACTATTCTTTTAATTGCTGTAGATGATATTGCCAAATGAGAAATCGCTTATATGTTATATGTCTCATACTTATGACATTTAGTTTGTACTTTTCCATTAACAACATTCCGAATAGAATGTTACAAACTTAGTACGTAGTTCCAGAGTGATACTACAGCGTCAGTAATAGTGATATAACTTCTCATATCGTAGATTATATTAGACATACTATCTTCGTACAAATGCTTCGCCAAAAACAGAGTAATGGTTTTATCCTTGTGTGTATATATTAGTCAGAAATGTAAGAACTTATATTGTAATGATAAATTAAAAAGTGAAAACGACGTGGAACTTAGGACTTTATTTACGCAAAACAACGATAAATATCGTTCTAAAAAAGAATGCCTCGCATTTGGTACATATACATTGCTATATTATACCATACCATATCAGCCGTTAACTGCTAAACATAGACCTCCCCCATGAGGAGAGTTTTTTTTTAATGGATAATAATGGAATTGTGATGACCCCGCCCTCGCTATCAGCATACACCGGCGGGGCACCAGTGAGCGATGATTAGTGAAGATGAAAAGGCAAGACAGTTAGCCCATCGTGACGAATTCAACGATAAATTAGTCATGATGGTTTCCAGGGGGAATCGCGTGGAGGTCGACCTGATAGGGTATGCTGATAGCAATGGAACTAACCTCCCCATTACTAATAACCCCTTCCCCCCATGAGGAGAGTTTTGTCTGTAGTTGTCACGCTTGGCAGACGCGTTGGCAATTGCAGTTCAGTTTTGGTGGTGAATATTGTAAAAGGAGACTATGGGAACTTAATAGTCGAGGGAGGAGCACAAGTATCTCTCTTAAAACACTAACATGTGTACAAATGTCATCTACGTATATAACAGCGATAGCTATTAGATTTTATTGCTATTTTTCATAAGAATCGGTACTAGAATCAGTGAAAGATGATAGGTGAGAATGAGAATGAAATTAGTTAGGTACTTGGCCCATCGTGGCATATTCACCAGGGTGAAATCACGATGGTTTTCGGAGAGAACCATGTGGAGGTCGACCCGTCAAGGTATAATACGATTGCTATTAATGGAATCACGAGTTTCCATTATTAACAATCACAGATAACGCCTTATTAACAATCCGTTATCTGTTAAATCTATATCACATTTTAATGTTTTGCTTCGTACAGTTATAAGGTTGGCTCAGTTACGCTAATTGTCTACAATTTGATATTAATCGCTATAATACACGTATTTGGGTAATTCGAACAGTTTGCTTGTAAATGTTGTGTATTAATAATATTTTCCAAAGTAATAATTAAGAGAATAACAGGAGCAAATTCGAATGCAATCTGCAAATCTAATGGCGGGGAGTTATGGCGCCAAAGATACGGATCTAACATGGCGACGCGACTTGGTCGAGCGACCGCCGACCTCTGCTCTGTCCATGCTATGTTGTGACGTCATCACTGGACAGACAGAGTACAATTGATAGTTTATATATCGATATCGAAATACTGATCTTTATAATTTGTCATAAAATACTATTTTTTATAATAAGGCCAAATAATATGCGTAAGTTTGTCTTTGCAAAAGTTACCAATATCCTGAAACATTTCAAAATATAGATAATTACTATTTCGAAATAAAATAATATACTTAATAGTAAAGGAGATTTATAAATATAAAATACAAAAGTAAAAAAAAATATTATACATGAATTGAGATTTAAGTAATTTTTGACTAAACTTGTTTACGGTTATTGTAGGTATACAAAAATTTTCAAATCAGAAAGAATGATTTTAAGACATAAATACCTTCGGTGGACGAGATTCAGGCCAAATATTTACCTATTTTGTAATTTTGACAATATTCTTCACATTCCAAACAAAATAATTAAAATTATATAGAATATTAATTTCTTTATTATAAATTCTATAATAAGTTCATTTTCCTTGATATATTTAATGTTAATTTTATAATAGTACTAGATGTCGCCCACGACTTCGTCCACGTTTCCGTCGTTTTTCGTAAAATAAGTAGCCTATGACTTCCTCACAGTTCAGTGGTTTTGATGTAACAGACACATTTCCTTTCACTGTTTTGCTCCTATTGATCATATCGTGATGAAAAGTATATTGTAACCTGCCCAGGAGTATGAAGAATAATTGTACCAAGTTTCGTTAAAATCCATCGAGTAGTTTTTGTTTCAATGACGAATATACAGACAGACAGAGAGACAGACAAAAATTTTACTGATTGCATTTTTGGCATCAGTATCGATCACTAATTACCCTCTGATAGTTATTTTGGAAATATATTTCATGTATAGAATTGACTTCTTTACAGATTTATTATAAGTATAGACAATGAGTAGTAAAATAATTAGATGACAGATCTGACGATTTTTTTTTCGAAAGTATTTTTTACGCAATATGAAATGGCAAAAAAGTCGATGGTCCACCTTATATAAAGTGGTAACGATCGTCTATAAACATGAACAGTACCATGGGTATCACAGATTACATTCTAGTGGCCATGGTGCCTCTCATGCATTAATCATGTATTTTAAGAATAAACCAGGATTTTATAGTACAGATTTCGCTCTTCTACAGTAACAGTGTATTATAATTGTAAATACATTTTATTATTTGTTAAATGGCCACTGCTGAACATAGGCCTCACCCATACAGAGGGGCTTTTTCAGTTGTCGTCATACTTGGCAGGTGGTTTGGCAGCAGCAGTTAAGCTTTTGTGATGTTTTAAGACGGTCGCTGCCGCCCATTCTTAAGTAAACATGTTGAACGCTCCATGATTTTGTGTGTCATCGTTGCGCAAGGGCCATGCTAATCTTCTGTGTATTGTTCCAATTTTTGTATATGTACTGCCGAAGCAAGTACATAAATTTTACTAGATATTAATTGAATATTTTATATCGATACTACTACAACCCTAATACTAGAACGTGACTGTAAGTACAAGATTGGTCGCCGGGTCGGTAATACGATAGACGAAATTAAGTATGTTCTAGTCTAGCAAAATGGAACCAATTGCAATGGTCGATAATTAGAACGGACAAATGTTGTGATTTATATATATATTGTAGGTATGTTCATTAGGATTACTCTAATTATGCAAGTGTGAATTGGAGAAATATGGTTACAATATAAAGATCAAATTGTTGTCTAATTAAGAAATTTCGAAGGCGTCTGCTGCTGCACCTTCTATGAGGTGCTCGTACTGGGGCTAATGTTCTTATGAGTAGAGTCACTATTTTACTAGAAATATGTCTCGAAATTAACAATTATTACAATGTAGTATAACTTAAGATTATTACGCAAAAAAACAATTTTCCTCATGACATAAAAAGTAAGAAAGTAACATGGAGTGAAAGCTATTTCGTTTAAAAAAGAATCCTAGAGGAGGTTGATAAATAATTAAACTTTAGAATGTATCTTAAAAGAGAGGTTTTCGCTAGAGACTACTGTATGGGGTATTTTTTATAAAGGGCAATACTAAGGTTTCCTCAGGATCGGCAACGCATACGTGACACCTCTAGTATTGCAGGCGTCCGTAGGCTACAATGACACTTTACTATCAGACGGACTGTATGAATGTTTACCACCTTTGTGGTATTAAAAAAAGATTGGAACCATAAAAGTGAAACATGTCTTTCTTTCTACTTTCATATTTAGCTTCAATTCAAAATTCTACCAACAGCTACAATCACTGGTATTAACATAATTGTAAAAGGGTTCTCGAATATTCAGTATGCCGAGACTAAATTAAATATTTGATAAACAAATTTCGAAGTTGCCGAACAAAAATATGTTTCGAATCAACTTTGCAAGATGCGAAACATTATGTCAATAGATTATAATAATTTAAAATAACAATCCTAATGACGTTGTGCATAAAGTGTTATTTACTATATTTACAGTTATTACATCTCTCACATGTCAGCTGTGTACTATCACCAATCCTATTATCATTATTTCTAGAAGAGAAGCCGCGGGCGAGAAGCAGTTACAGTCTGACCTAAGGTTACGTACTAGCCCGTACTCAGCTAGCTCCAAAACATTCCAGTGCCCTGTGTTCGCTATAAAGCTGCGTAATTACGAAATAACTCCGTACCTGTACGCGGGGACTATTTATTTAATCACTTTGAGGGGCATAATGGAGGGGCAAGTCCGCCATCAAAATTATTCGACCAATCTATCGCATATCGTGTTGCCTGTGATGGAACCTTGTACGTTGAACTACAATTTCCGCGGTCGCCAATAATGAGCAGTACGATGAGTGTTCTTAGTATATTTACTGGTATATATTAGGGGAAATGTTTCAAAATTGTTATTGTTAATATATTTAACAAGCAGACAATATAGTATAAAATGTTTATAAATTTGCTTTTTTCTCTTTCAACTTGTAACCTACAGTTTAGTGGATCGTAATCATATATGTATAATCACTTAATGGCCGAGAAATGGGCAGCAAAGTCCCTCTTAAAACATCTCCACAGAACTTGAAATTAGTGTGGAGTAGAAATGATCCTACTATCATTATCTCTCTCTGGTTTTAATCCAATTGAACAAGGCTTTACGGCACAATGCCAAGAAATAAAGAGGTCTGAAAGTGACATAAAATAAGTGAAAACTACTTATTTCACGAAATGCTGCACATTTAATACAGTGAAGTTGCAAAATCTGCCAACTACAGTGAAGTAGTGAAGAGGAGTTTTAGGAAGTGCCTCTTGCAATTTTCCGAGGTTCAAATACAACTTTTATGTGTACCGAAAGCGCCTTTTTCAATATTCTTTAATAAAATTATATTTATTATTTTGTAGCTGATAGTTTTTATACCTAAGATATTTGCGTAGATTATTATTTAAATCTGAAATTGCTTAGTAGTATATTCTATTATTAGTAAAATAAAATAATTCGTACATTTTAATTATTTAACAGATTTCAAAAAAGGAGTAGGTTCTCATTTCGGTTGTATTTGTTTTATATTTGTTACTTTATAATTTTATCATTTATAGAATCGCTTTGAAACATTTTTCTTTTTATCTGAAAGGATATATATTCAGATTTTATTTCTTTTTTTTTAATCTTTCAGTATCATCATTACCTTAAAAGCCGTTACGGGGACACTTTTGAACGTAAGCCTCCCCATAAGGGGGGTTTTGCCAGTAGTGGCCACGCTCGGCAGGCGGGTTAATAACCGCGGTTAGACTTTGGTACTTTTAAAAGGGACGTTGTTGCTCCCTCATCTACCAACAAATTCCTACAGTCGCTACTTATCACATCCACGAGAAAGGAAAGGATGGTCCATTAAGGCCAGGACCGCACAGCTATCGTTTCAGTAGTTTAGACTTTCCATCAAAGTACCTGCTTTTGCGATTAAAGTCAACTTTTTTAGTGGAACACAATCTTAAATAATATCCCTAGTGGTTATAAATATGAGTAGGATAAAAATTAATTCAATGTTTAATTAAATATCGACGATAGATAAAACTTATTTTGGAAATAGAAATATTGATACTAACTCTTTGGTGGTGCAAACATCATTAACTATGTCCAAAGGCTGGTCCCTTACCACGGGATTTCCAATATGTTGGAGGAAATGAGGGCATACAGAATGTTTTATTCGCCACAACAGCAACAATCGACAAATATATCTGGGGGATATTACTCATGAGAATTAGTGGTCGCTATCACGTCGACCTCCACGTGGTTCCCTGAATCCGTGATCACCTGGTGAAAACTAGCATAGTTAATTCTTGGTGAATTCATTACGATGGGCCAACTGACACAGTTAAATTCTTACCTATCATCCTCATTGATATTCTGCCGTGTTGGTATACGTATTGGTATGCTCTATCTATACCCATAGCACAAGCGAGAATACTATTCCATTACTACCCTTTAAAAAAATTATGCCTGGTTATCTCGTCAATAATTACAGTCGTGAGGATATTTATTTTATTGTTATATTGACATTATTGAAAGTATCTTTAGAGTGTTTATAAGATATGAATCAAACAATTTTATGAATCGGAACGATGGAGAGTAGCGTCTGGTTCTCTTTTCACGAGGACGGGCATAAGCAATCAAAAGGACTTCAGTGTACAATAAAATGTTTTATTCAAAAGTTATTGTCTACTATGTAGTCAATATATCTCATTGACAGTGATCAAAGAATGTATTACAATAAATATTGTTGTTGATAAGATTGTACATTGTTCGTTATCTCTAATTAATATGTTGTAGGAATTTTATAAACTTTTTTTATATATATGTGTGTGTGTTTATATTACACTAAGAAAAGGTAATAGAAAAATTGGACTTCTCAAAAATGATGCTAGTTAGGAACATCGCATAATTTTTCCTGTTATATTATATGTAGTATACATATATATACTTTTATTAACTATAATCATTTCAGATTTCTGGAATAAGAGAAGAGAATGGTTTTTATCTCATATTTTGGATCTTAAGATAATATGAACATGGACAAAACTAAAACCAGGTCTAACGTCCATGTCACACCTATACCGGTCATTATTGAGAACATTACGCTTGAAATTGTCGACAACTACGTATACCTGGGACAACTCGTTCGACTGGCTAAGTTCAACTTCGACCTAGAGGTCAATCGGCAAATCCAACTCGGCTGGGCAGCGTTTTACACATGCATTGCAGGGTGTCAGTGGATACAGGTGGCTCAGGACCGTTTTTATGGTAGTCTATGAGGGAGGTCTATGTTCAGCAGTGGACAGATACCGATACCTATTCATCATCACCTATCGTCCCTCACTATTGCCCCGCCTGCGTATACTTAAAGGTATTATACGATATTTCATGAGATGATATATCATACAATGGGCTACCTGTGGGCAGGAGCGCCACAGACTCCTTCCGTTGCCATTTTTCATCATCACCTATCGTCCCTCTGAAACTGCGCTGTTGTCCGAATTTATCATGGGGAGTGTTCTGAGGAATTGTTCGGATTGATACTGATTTTTAGCGTAGGCGGAGCACTTTCTTCCACGCACAACCATTCTTTGGAATCAACTTCAGTATTTCCGAACCGATACGACAACATAACCTTCAAGAAAAGAGTATATTATTATTAATTATAAAAAAGTTATCATTTTATTATTATTAATTAAAAAAAAAGTGGTATTGAATATAAATATTAGAGTCGGTATCAAAAAATACTTTATTTAAAACCCTACAATCTTTAAAAAACGAATCTTCATATTCTTAACAAATATAGCTAAAAATGCCTATTAATGAAAACATTCTTAATTAGAGCTACTCGTATTTTGGTGATATGTCATAAAGCGATTAGTTAACTTTCATAAAAGTTTGCAACATGCGTCTTGTATTGAAATTTCCATCACAAGAGTAATTTGCCTAATTATTACGCTATGCTGCCACCCCGTCAAAGTTGGAAGAATTGTTTAGAATTTCAGTTAATTTGCTCCCGTGTTTAAGAAAATGTTCTTTTAACACTTTATCTGTATAATAGTTGTTCTGACGATTCGTAGATTTCTATAAAGATGACATAGGAATATGGGTTAAGAAGAGAAGACGTGACTTGGAGATTAAATGGAGATTAAAGCGAATGGTGACTTATTTACCTCCATCATTATAATAATCCGTGTAATCCCAGCATAGAATAGGCCACCCCTTCCTTTCTCGTGGGTGTGGTAAGAGGCGACTAATGGAGAGCGAGAGATGGGTAGCAGTCTCTCTTAAAACATCTTCAAAGCCTAACTGTAATTACCAATCCGCCTGTCAAGCGTGACAACTACTAGCAAAATCCCCTAAGAGACAGGCTTATGTTCATCAGTGGACAGTTAAAGGCTGATATGATGATGATGATGATTATAATC